AAGCGAGGAACACTGGCAGCGTCAGGTTGGTGTCAGATCCCTGCATCCTGCCCTCGCTGTACACTATGCATTTATATATTTATACATTAAAAATAAAGTTTTATATATATTTTATATATATATATTTATCATGGAGAAGCAGGAAAAAGTCTCCTTTTAAGCAGTCAGCCTAAAACTTGCAGGTGTTGGCAAGAAACTGGGCCCAAAAGGGCTGGTTCTCACTGACAGGGTAGTGGATGGAAGTTCTGCCACTGTTTCGTGGCTGCAGTTTTGCATCTGCAGTGCACTGTGAGAATATCTGAGAAAAACTCTTTAAGTTGCAGAAATATGTGGATAAATCTGGAATGGGGTGCAGAAGGAAGGCATTTTAAAAAATGTTTTTGTTCGAAGGCTGCTTTTTTTAAGGCATGGAGGCACTTGACTTACTACTGGGAAATTTGCAAATCTTGAAAACAAAGGATCAAATTCTGAGTATCATTAGGCTTTTTTTTTGCAGTCAGAAAAGCCACTACATGAACTAAACATTTGTTAAACTCCATTTAAATGAAAATAAGTTAAAAAGATAAGAGAAATGCTTAATAAAAGATAGCCAAAATTAATTCTTACTAGAAAATAAGCATTTTTTTTCCATTTGCCAACAATGGGCAGGGTTTAGGAATCAAGTCTGGGGTCAAAGGGTCTTGATGGCCAAGTCAAAGGGCAGCCAGAGATGTATATTAATGCGTGTCAGCCTCTGGATCCGGGAGTCAAGCGGTAGTTCATAAAAGAAACAAGGCATCTTAAGAAGAAGTGTTATTAGCAAACATCAGGTCAAAGTTTATCTTTGGGTCAGTGTGTACGGGAGGGTCACCCGCTCTGCTGTCGCGCTGCAAGGTGCTGGCGGGGAGAAGCAGCTGGGAAACTGGATAGCCTTGCCAACTGCTCTTACAAATTGCGAGTTAAACTGAGGCATTTCGAATGGAAAGGGTTATTGAATTTAAACTTTCATTTTTCACTTTATTTTTTTTCTTGCTAAACAGAAAGCTAACGTATACTTTTGTACGGATTCTTGGCAATTTCCTCACGCTTCATCCTCGGGCACGAGAGACGATGCTCTAGGGGACAGACGTGTCTTGCTTTTGGAGGAGCCGGTGCTGCAACATCAGCCCCTGTGCTGCAGGGATATTGTACATCTTTCCATGTCAATCTTCCTGGGAGCGTTCCCGAGCGACCAGGGAGCCGTTCCTCCCAGCTCCGCTCCTCCCTGCGCCGCGGCTGCGGGATCCCCAGCAGACGGAGCCAGCAGCGCTCCCCGTACCACAGCAGACCCGTGTGGGCTGCCATGCTCCCTGCTGCTCCCTTGTTTTAGTACCACAGTTCAGTTGCTCCCTGGTGAAGTAAACCAAATAAGAGAAGACATGAGGCCGTTTAAAAATACTGCGACTTCGATGCCTTTTTGGTTTGAATAGCACAACTTGTGGTTGGGCTCTGGGAGGAGGGAAGAGAAGAGCATAACTGCAGGAATAATAAATATGTCTTTTCACTAAAGCTGATTATGTCTGCATTGAATGGTAATTAAAATACAATGTGCAAAGATAATTGGATATTTCTGAGAACTGACATGACTGGAAGTGACAGAGAAGTGATTACCTGCTAGAACTTTTTCGTTGTTGTTGTTAATTAGGTACTCTCATTGCTGTAGCCCTGAATTGTGCATTTAGCATGTAACATTATGCACAGGCAAATCCTTAACTCTAGAGACATCCGTTACCGTAACGGGGAGCCTCAGCACGCTTGTTTAAAGGGTCATATGCTTGTTCCTTTGCAGTCTAGTTGTACCAGCAGAGATCTAACTTTTTAGTTAAGAGGGTGGGTACTTTTTGCCATCTGGGTTCATGTCTGTAAATTAAATGGAGAAAATCCACCAGAAAAGGGCAGGGAGAGGAAACAGCGCTCACAGAGAAAATCCACCAGAAAAGGGCAGGGAAACAGCGCTCACGGTTAGAGAATGGGATTTTGGTGGGTAGGTGGGTGCTGCTTTTGTCTTTGCTCTCAGAAAGATCCCCTTAGTGTCTGAAGGTGGACACAGAAGGATCTGCTCCAGGATGGGTAGTGTCCCAAGGGGGTCTCATGGAGCCTTCAGGGCGCAGTTGGTGCCATGCGAAGGCGGCTCTGCTGCATCTTCAGCAAGTGCCACGTCCACTTGTCCTTCCTCCTTTCCTGCTTCCCATGAAAAGTTTGAACGAGATTCTACTTTTCTCCCAGCACAGGCTGGTGGGAGGAAGCTTGGGATGAGAGTTGTGATGGGAAATGTTCCCTTCCTCGCCCAGCCGCAGTGATGGGCTGAAGCATGAAATGATGTGAATTAGAAACATGCTCTGAGGCTGCGCAGCTGAATCTTTCCTGGGATAATCTGCTACAGCTCTGCGGATACTGATTTGAAAGCCTCTGTTCCTAACTAGGTGCAAGGGCCTTGCCATGAAGCGTACGTTACCGTAGGAAATCATATTAAAGGGAATGAATTTCCAGGAGTCTGCAAGTCTTCACTTTTAATGGCAGCTCCATTGAGTTTCATATAAACACTCAAAAGGCTTTGCAAGATTGGTTTTAATTTCATTTGCAAGGGTATCCATACTATGAAGCAGTGAGTCTGAGCTTTGTAAAACACATTGTGTTGGAGCTGGGCTCAGGCTGAGCGCCGCTTTCCCAGGAGCGGCTGCTGAGATTCCACTGCATGCGGGTGTTGCAAGGTCCAGAAGGCCAAACCGGAGTGAAAGCTGCTTCTCTTTGGTGGTGCACAAAAAAGGGATGGAGAGGAGAAAGGAGAATGGGAATGGTTCCTTCAGGAACTCAGCAGGATCAAATGGACTTCTAGAAGCATTTCTCTCTTTTTTGATGCTAAAAGTAACAGAAGGAGGCTCTGGGATTATCAGAAGAAAATTAAGAGTTCATCTTGCTCCTAGAAAAGTCAATGGCAGTATTAGTTTATTGCAACATGATGCCCACTAATGTGATAAACAATTGCTTTAAAGGAGAAAAACAACTGAATGCCAATTAAGACAAGCATCAGAATGAGTGCTCCAGTTTTCCACTGCACACAGGATGATTTATAGTCAAAGGATTACTTTGAAATTGTTTTGAATTCTGCCCTTTAATTTATTAAGCGAATCCTCCTTAGAAACTTGACTGCTAAGTCACTTTAATTTAAAGTCCCACTGTCGTCTTTGCCTGTATGCAGAACCTCGAGGGTTCTATAAAACTGTCAATGTGGCTGTTAATTTTTCGCTTCTTTTTTTCCTTATGGCTTAAAGCTTAATTGTGAGAGCTGGGAAGATGCTGTGCGTTTGGTTTGCAGGGTCCAAGCAGTGTCCTACAGGTCTCAGCTCCCATCAGAGCTCCCAAGGACCTTCCTGCTGCCACGCCAAGGCAGAAAACCTGACAAAATCTGGGACTTGACAAAATCCAACGGGTCACACCTGACTTTTGTGCTGGAGTTGGAAACGGACGATAATCTAGTGTTTTAGCCTAAATGTCCCTCAGCTTTGGGTGGGTCTGGATCCAGATCAGGATCTGAACTTCTGCCTCAGGCTGCTCTCTAATTGAAGCCATGTAAAACCACACATTTCACATGACTTTGATGCAAAACCATAAATAGGCCCATTTTTTTGTTGTTGTTTAAAACAAAGTCCAGGCTTGCTTAGAAAGATCACAAACCTCTTGATGAACCTTGATAGTTCTAGGTTGTAATGAATACTCAAGTCTTGTATATAATAATGTCACTGGAGAAAGATACCTGTTTTTTTTTTATTTTTTTGTTAAACGTGTGACTGCTCCGAGACAGGCAATGATGTTCTGCTCAGTGCAGGCTGTCTCAGAGATGCTCTAGACTTTCCTGCACAGGCTCTGAGTTTGTTTATTTTTTGTTTGCAGTTTATTGAAAATAAAAAAAAAATCAAAAATACAAGTGGTACTTAAACCATTTTTGTGTTTTATATAGAAAAAAATATAGGGAGGCTTCTGAGCAACAAGGGATTGAAAAAGCAAGATGGAGATGAACATGGAAGCTAGAGCTGCTATCTGCTTTTTTCTTTTCTCTCTTTTCTGTGAGCAGTTTAATTACAAAATGAACCTGGATGTTTTGCACTTTTTTTTTGTTGTGTGTGTATTCTGTGAGTAGGAGACTCAGGGCAATGCGGGTATTTTAGCAATACAAATTCTGCTACCCTAACAGAACACCATGACTGTTATTAATTTTAATGGCAGATGTAGGGCTCAGCTTTGAAGATCACGATCTGGGCATTCATTGTAGAGTTATCCATGCCACATATTGGTTAATCCACTTATACGTGACGATATATGTTAAATTAAATGAATGCTGACCAGTAGAGTCTGGGTCAAAGCTGGTTTAGCAGCAGTTTGATAAGTGGTCTTGGCGATTTGGAAAGCCTAACTAGGAGACTTCAACAAAGTGATTGTCACCAAAAACATAAGAAAGGTTTCCAGGCTACTTGGCTGTTATTTGTATTACTGTAGTAGGCAGGAACCCTGCTATGGCCTGGGAGTTTAGTGTGGTAGGTGCTCTCGATGTTCCTGTGTGAAGGACCTGCTGGCGCAAGCACAGCCGGTGGGCAGGTGTGGGTATGCTGGAGAGCAGGGCTGGACACTGGATCCTGATGGAAGCAGTGGTTTCAGTGGGCTGTTCAGGACCTGTTACAGTTTTACAGGGGGGCAAGCAAATGCCAAGCAACTTGGAGTAGTGAAAAAGTCACCATTCAAGAAATGCTGCTGCTTTTGAATGTGGAGGATTTCTGTTTTCAAGAGAAATTAGAAACAACCAGAACTGCTTTTATTATTTCCCCCGAGAAACCTCCCTCACTATGTGTTTTGCCATAGAGCTCTTGCTATGAATTAGGCACCTTGGTTGATCCCAGCTTTTCTTGTATTTCTCCCCCAGTGCAATGCTATGAACCTCTGAGAAGCAAAGCAGACCTCTACACGGATGCTGTCAACTCCCTCAACAGCCTCACAATTCAGTAGTGCTGATTTTAGAGAGATCCAAATTTGTAGCTAAGCAACTTTTCTGAGTTCTTTTTGCATTTTTGTGATTTAAGCCAGTTAAAGGCAGTGCAGAGCTGTTCACTTTCTCTGTTTTCTTAAAGGACCTGCCCTTTTCTGGAGGATGGGCTCATTGGCTTTAATGAAACCATTGATTTTCAGCGTGTGGGCGATCATCTAACAACAAGCTCCTTTTCATGGTCCAAAAATAGCCCAGGCTGCTTCGCTGGCTTCCCCCCTGGAAATGAGGGGCTGAAACAAAGGCCATCTACCTTGTGCCTCCTCTCTGTGTGCAAGGAAATTCCTCATCCTGGTGGATGTTCAAGGGCCACATAGGAGCCTAAAGGCTTCATTTAAAGACCGCTGAAGCTAGAGAAGGGTGGGAAATACATTGCACACTTGGTAACAGCTTAAACACTGTAATTTAAATGTCTGATCACAACAAACTGTGCTCCAGCACTGGGGGATGGCCCAGGCTGGCAGGGCTGCCCTGCCATCCCTGTGCCAGCTGGACTGTAAAGTAGAGGAGAGGAGCTTCCCGAGGCCAAAAATAGGGGCAGACTCCTCTGCTGAATAATCTGCCTACTTTTGTTGTACTCTCGGGGAAATGTTTGAGTCAAATTGTTTTGAGAAATGCTTTAAAATAATAGTCTTTAAAAAAAAAAAAAAAAAAAAAAAAAAAAAAAGTTACCAAATATCAAGCACCACAATGGAGTGTGCTAAAATTGATAGAGAAAAGGCAAAATTTAACATGTTAAATTGGTGTAATCACACGAGTGTTACCGCGGGTTGTGCTCAGTGAGCCCTTGCACTAACCTCTGGTGAGGTTTCCAAGAATGTTCAAGAGTGAACATTTTTAGCCAACTAATTTTTGACTAACGTTAAGTATTCAAGCAGCCATCGTTGTTCTGGTAGGTTCTTGTCTTTCTCACCGCTGGAATTGTGGATTTTCCCTGGAAAGCAGCCTGCGTGTGTTTCTCTTGAGCGGTAGCGGGGGAATGAGCGCGCTGTGGCGCTGCGAGGGAGCCTCCACCATCCCGAGCGCCGCGGTCTGTGCGCGCCCGGCGCTGGGGCCTGCGGGGTTCCAGGCCCCCAGGACGTCGCTCCCAACGCTCGTGTAGCCACAGGGGGAGCGACCTGGAGGAGCTAACAGGTTTAGGTGGGAGAGAAGCTATTGATAAGCTATAGGCTGGAAAATGAAAATCAGTGGCACTTCTGGATTTATTCCACAAAAATTCAGCCATCTCTTTTGCAAGGTAGAATGATATGTTGAGGAAACTGTGTATTCTTTAAGTATGGCAACCCGATGACCATCCCAAATTATACAAGTGAAGGAGACAATTGTATCATTCAGGTTAGCTTTATGGTGGGTAAAAGAGGCTTGAGGGGTGGCCTGGCTTCAGCAGCGGGTTTAAAAAGAAATCATAGTCTTGATTTCCCATGGAGACTTGTGAGGACAAAATATATGTCCAATAATGCTGTCACAGAGATGAAACTATGTCGAACTATATAGCTTTATCCTCGCTTTTTGGAATCAACTATGGTATTAAATCAAGCCCTAGAGCTAGCTGAAAGATTAAAAAAAGGCGTTTAAACATTCTCATATTGTTTTATCTTAAGTAATGGTATTGCTTAATATTTTTCTTAAAAAAAAAAAAAAAAAAACAACTTTTGGCCATGCTGCAAGCTAGTCAAAATCCAGTGAAGTAACACAAAGCTGTTTTTGAAGATTCTTGTAAGCCTTTTCCATCTTAAAATGTCCAGTAAGTCTGATCAGCTTATATGACCTGATATTCTCTTATTGCAAAACCAAAAATAATGAACCAAAAAGAATTTATATATTTTTGGTTTGTTTTTCCCTGAAGCCTCCATATTGCCTATTGGGTATGAGATTGCCTTGACAGCTCAATTATTTTCAATGCTTGAACCTGCTGGTACAGTTTCCTTACTTATGCAGCGACTCCTTTGTTTGCTTTATCTCATTTCTCAAGTGTAGAAATTCCATCTCCCGGTGCTCAATGTTTCTGTCTTAATTGGCTACCAGTCACTTATTTCATCAGCTGATACCGCCTTTAAGACACGTTGCCAGTTATTCCTTAGCATGTTCTGGGCATTGTTCAAGGAAGGTTTAGCTTTATTCTTAAATCTATGATTTGTATCAAAGTACTATTTAGAATATCAATCCTCAAAGATGCTACAGAACAGATGCTAAGCCTCTTTTAGGACTTGAGTATTTTATCTCAATTTTTTGTAATATAGGAGGCAAAATCCTTCTTTTATGTTAAGTCGGGAATTTTTTCTTGAAGTTTATTTAGTGGGAAGTCAAGATGTTGCAATGCGTAAGAACCAAGGCTCATGTTATCAGGCTCCCTTTGGGAAGATTTGGAAAAGATTTGGGAAGATATGAGTTTGGGGGAAATGTTTAACATTTACTTTATGACCTTTTGTGTGCCTTTAAAAGCACAGGACTCCCTTAGTTTTATCAAACCAAGTTCATGTCATATTTTTTTGTTTGTTTCAAGTAGCGCAGTTGAGATCCTTGGATCCAGCTGAGGCTCAGGCTTGCTCTGGGCTGCTGGACTGAATCTGGAGAGGGACCATTTCTCTGTCCTCCCCTAAGCAGCTTTCCTGGGCTGTGGGGTTGAGGGTGTTCGGTGGCGAGCGAGAGCGTGTGCTACCTGTGGCACTGCGATCCTCAGTGCGTTTGCTTTTTTTAGTTTGCATTATAAAATAGTAATAATCTTCTGTGCAAATTTACAGCAGGGAAACTTGAGTGCACAAGCAACACAAAATTGCTATGTACTTTAACATTGCTTGTTTCAACAAAGCAAATTTCTCTTTGGAAGAGAAGGTAGTGGAATAAGAAGAGATTTTTGTAGTTGTTGCATTTGCCGTTTCCTCTTCCCTTCTTTTCACTCTGGAGATTCTTCATCCTTTCATGCTCAGCTGAGAATTAGCCATTTATTCTTAGTGCTGGTGAGGCACTCTTTGATATTTAAACTGGAATGTGTTCCTTTTTGATGCTCTGTGGTTTTGAATGAAGTACATGCTAGCAGATTAATGGCGCAGAAGAGTTAGATGCTGGCCGTTTTTTTCATATTAGTTCATCATTCCAGAGAAAAATTAAATATAATTTTAAAAGAGGAGACTATGAATTGTCTATTATTTGTGCGGTGAAATTGTTTTCACAGTGTTGCCATTCTCTGCTGAGCTGAAATCATTCAATAGCTATGAGCTGTCACATTTTTGTAAGTTATAAGTGTGTCAAGCTGTGCTGACAAAATGTCCCTGCATAACTGTTAATATGCAGTGTCATTTTAAGCATGAAACAGTTTAGCTAATGATTTATCTCTTATAATGCAGCACTTGGGGCAGCTGTATGATTTGTCTCTTTAGCAAGTCAAGTAATTTCTTTAACAAAATGTTAAGCACAGATGGGCCATAGGCTGTCAGTTAACCATTATTGTGCATGCATCTGCTTGCCTTCAATGCACTGTTTTATGTATTCAGCCACTTACTTAGGCAGAGCTCTCTGAAAAGCGGAACCTACTCTGATTGGCAAATAAAATGTTCATTTGTCTCTTCTTCCTATTGTTTTGTTTTGGTAACACATGTCAGCAGCTCAATTACCCAGTTCATTAACAGCTCCCAATGGACACGATGGCCAACCCATGATAAGGAGGGCGATTGTGGCACATATGGTCAATAATAGCCTGTCTCTTGGTAATTGTAAATAAAAGTCACTGTTGGCCTTTTCCTTTTACTGCCGCTACCGTTTTCCTCTGCGCCTTGCTGTACAAAGCACATTTCTCAAAGTGAATCAGTCCAAGTAAAATAAAAATGCCCTGTGCCCCTCTCAAAAATATCCCTTTTATCACTATTCTGGCTGCGTCTTCCCTCTGTGCTGACTTTCCATGCGGGAGACGGGGCTGCTCTTTTTGAATTCCCTTAACCGAATAATTACTTTTATCAATCAGTTTACTTAAACAGCAACATATTTTCTTCCCATTTCTCTCATTCTCTTACTGAAGACTTTTGTGAAGTGCCTGTGGAGTTTAAAAAAGCCATTTACAATGTTTTTGTAAGTATGCCCTTTGCAAATAGCAGCCATTTTCAAAGGGGTAATTGAAGTGTGACTTAATCCTTGTTAGATGAGCGATATTCATGTCTAGAACAGAGGGTTGCTTTTTGAGTTCGTTTCTATGTTTCTTTTTTCTTTTTTTTTAAATGTGTTACAGTGAAGATGACTGTAAAAAGGGTTAAAAGAATCTTTGCTAGTAATTGTATTTCACGACGTGCTAGGTATTCCCTTGCTTTTTAGCAAGGTGGAGTGTTGTTCATTATGTACTTTCTGATCCTAAACTTTCACTTTTTTTTTTTTCTTCAAGGAAATAGGAGCTTGCATGAACGTGTTTAATTTTAACTCCACCAATACATCTTTTGGGACTTTGTTGCTTTTTGCCTTCTTGGAAATCTGTTTTCTCCCTTCTTTTCTTGCAGTGGAAGCAGAGGCACCAGGCTGCTAACATGTGGGAGCAGCTTTGGGGCTGGGACCTGTGGGTGACATTTGGGAGTTTCCCCAGCTCCGCACTCTTCTTCCTTCGTTAAAAATAATCATGATGAAGCACAGAAAGCAAACAATGAATCAGATGAAAGGGCAGCTCAGAAACCTGCTCTGCTTGCCAAAAGCAGTCAGAGCCCTCAAATTTGGGGTGCTTTTCTAAGCTTTGGCACATGCCTTATCTTAGGTAAACTTGGAACTCAGCTGAGGGTCTTTTTAAGACTTGCAGGTGGCTGTGGTGACTTTAGACCCCGTGCGCTGCTTCCTGCTGCCTGCCGTATTCATAACTAATCTGCGGCCCCCGCCGCGGCTTGCGGCACTCGGGGAGTTGTTGAGTGTCAGGGTTTATTTGCGCTATTTTGATTAGTGCTGGCCTGGCAGGCCGTGTTTGCTCTCGAACGGCCCCTCACTGTGCGCTGGCCTTTGCCGAGGGGGAGAGTGGCTGGGCAGGGACCTTGGCTGGGAATTCAGATGCTGGTTGATTTTCTTGCAGATGCTGTTTTGGGGCAAAAAGGAGGTGGTTCTAGTCAGGAAGCTGCTGAGAGCCGCCCCAGGACCAGTGCCGGGAGAGCAGGCATTGCTCTGCTCCCCACTGCTCCCAGCAAACCAGCTCCGGAGATTGATGTGGAAAATGCCTGGTGTGAGCAGAGGGCCCGTCTCCCAGCATGATTTTCCCCATTTTCCCTCTTTTCCGCCCTTTGTCTGTGCTGTTACCGCAGCCCCAGGCGGCCCGGCTCCCTTTCCGGCGGGGCGCGAGGCTCGGGGGGAGCCCGGGGTGCCCCCCGCCGCGCGCGCGGCCGCCCCCTCCCCGTCTGCCC